ATGCCAAAACGAATTCTGTGGCTCGAATGGTTCTTGAGAAACTTCGAATAAAGGCCATTTAGTTATCTCTGGAATGATGTAAAAACGAGCGTTCTGCTCATTTTGCTTCCGAGAAACATGCAAAACGGGACGGAAAACATGAAACTTTGCAATAATCTTGCGCCACCCTTGCCCAAAACGACGATCATTTTTCTAATTTCATAGACAACAGAAGACTGTATTTTTTCTATATAACCCCCCCCCCTGACTTCAAAGCTGGATCCGCCCCTGTATCAAACATAAAATATCGAAACGACTTTCTTATACAGGCGACCCTGGATCGTTTGCTCTAACTTGTGTGTGGTTGGTGTGAGGACAAAGCTTTGCACCCATAGAGTAAGTAAAATATTTTACTTATTTTACTTACTCTATGTTTGCACCCCGCCAGGGTGCGTCAGAACTTACCTAAAACTGCACAACAATCTCCAACGCCGGCCACGTGAAGATGAGGGCCGTCAATGTGCGCTACACAACTAACAGCTCCGCTCATTGCCACCGAAAGAGTCTTCATGTTGACTTTGCCGTCTTTGGGCATCGCTTCCTTGCTCAAATCCTCGTCGAGCCGCAAAAAGGCCCGCTCAATTGCGCGGCTCATTTCAAAGTTCTGCTTGCACTCTTCCTACAACTTTACTGATGACAATCTCCCCAATATTCCCCAAATGAGCGAACTAAGTCTAATGGTACCTCGGCTAGTTCCTTGACAAACTGCACGAAACTCTCCTTGTAGATGTCTCGGACGTCTTCGACGAACTGCACTTTATCGTTGTAGCTCTGCAGCAGATCCGGATGCTCTGGCTGGGCAATGGAGTGCACGTATTGCAAGAGGTTCTCATGAGGTAGAAGACATGCGGTTATGTAGTTGAATAGGCGCTTGGCGATTACTTGGGCGCAGGCTCCGCCTCCGTGCCCATCGAACACGCCGACCAAGAGACCTGGAGGAGGCACCTAGAGGAGTTAGGAGGTTGAGGGGGAATCCATACGCACCTGTAGTTAGGAGGCAGGAGGCTTCAGATCGAGTGTCTTCAATGGGATTGTTGGACGGCAGCTGATTCGAGTCGTACGACTTTACTGAGCCCTCTTTGAACTCGTGCGTGTACTCATTGGCTCGCAGGATACTGTCTACCTGAAGAAAACAGAGTCCATAGGTTTTTGACTGATCGAAATGCCCCCGTTAGTGCAAAAATGCCCCCAAGTGATTATCGCGTTGACAGCTTTCAAAAGCTCGGCCATTCTCGGGACCCTTCGGTCAACTTGTCAATTGTTCAATGGTGGAGGGGAACGAATGTGCGCGTCTATTATTTGGAAAATTTTGTGATTTTTCAACTTCCCAAGCGGAAAATGGGCGACTTTCTGAAAAGTGCGATTATCTTTGCCGGTTTGGACGATTTTCCCCATCGGTAGTGCGATTTTGGCTTTGAAATGCGGCTTTTTCAGTTGAATACTTTCTGACGTTTCTTTTGCCTTTCAAGTGCTTATTTGGAGCTCAGAGAACGTTTTGGCATTTTCCTCATGGTTCTGAGGACTGTCTAGTTGCAGAAATTTTCATCTTAATGGTAAGTGGTATTTTCATATTTCATCAAGTAAATGTTTGGAATCTGGCGCTCAATATACAAGGGAGTGTCAATTAGTTTTTGCAGTCCTCAACACCAAATTGCGAGAAAATCGTGATCTTCCTCATACGTTCCTTTTAATAGACAAGATCAAGTGGTTACTGGTTTCCGTTTGGAAGTTAGGCGCTTTTTAAGCGTTCGGTGCACTTGTATGCAAATGTTCCTATTGAGCCCAACATTTAGCAATGCGACACAATCCATAATTTAGGGCGATTTCTGTGAAACTTTCAGGAGTTTAAGGATCAAATGTCTTCTAAAAACTCTGTAAATTTCAAGTAGCGGCTTGCACTGGATTGGAAGTTAGAATTTTTTAAAGCAGATGGTGCAGTTGTACAAAAATGGTCATTTTGAGCCCAACATCCGCAAACTCGAAAAAAATCGGTATTTAATGCGATTTCCATGAAATTTTCAAGAGTTGTTCAATCAGTTAGGAATTTTTGAAGCAAATGGTGCACTTAACTGTAATTTTCGATTATCAAGCGCAATGATCAAAGAGAGGCGCGGAAGGCAATTTCGACCGCCCTCATCGCTTTTGATGATGTTCACCGCAAAGGCGAACAAAACGTTAGGAAGCAATTCTAACGATCCACGGTTTATAAGCTCGACAATTTTTCAATCGCGACTCCAAATGCTTCAGATCGTACACCGTTTTGATTGCAACGAATTCAAGAAGCCCGAAAATAGACACCCTAAAGCTCTGATCCGAAAATACCGTTGAAAAAAACCAATCTCCCAACTTTCGAACTCAAACACTTGAAAACGTTGCGTTAAACCCAACTATTTAAGCCGAAAAAATCATTCAAACACAAGGGCGGATCCAGGGGGGAATCGAGTTTTCAATTGTCTATCCAACGATGCCAAAACGAATTCTGTGGCTCGAATGGTTCTTGAGAAACCTCGAAAAAAGCAGCGTCATGTTCAAGTGGATTTTGCAACTTAAAAAAAAACCAGGCAAATCTAAAACTTCCTGAATTCAAGCATTTTTTGAGAAAACT